GATTCTTCGTTACAAAAATTGCTCTGTTTATCGACGTTAAGAATGAAAATAAAGTCACTTTGATTTTTTTCTTGACTTGTATGTTGCCACTTGGGCCTGTATGTTGTCACGCGGCGGCCGTTACTTATGACCCTCTTACCTCTTTACCGTTTCTTCCTGCCAAGAACGACTACCGCGCCGTGAGGGACTCCGCGGTCCCGCGGAGGCCGCGTACTCCGGTGAGGATTTCGGTGCGATCAGTTTGCATTTGCTAGCCGGTAGCCATCTAGCGCGAGAAGCGCACCCCGAGAGACGGTGCTCGAGACCTATACGTGCGTCAAGTTCTTTCATCGTCATCGTCGTTGTTCATCATCGACCGCGTCAGCTCCTCGTCCATCGGTCGATTCGCCGCTTTGCCAGGAGTCCATCCGCCGTTTTCATCCCCCTCCTTTACGCGAAAGTCGTACCCGATAATCGATCCACCTGTTAAGCCGTCAATGAGAGCAGGAAGGTAGGCCTTGTCGACGCTCCTCTTCTTGTTCCTCGTAAACCGCCCGCAAGTTTTTCTTCTCTTACATTTTTCTCAGTTCGAATCATTTATTCTTAATCAATCTTTAGCTTTCAGTTCGTTCTAATGATATATATCAGCGCGTGTAATTTTCGTTCAATTTTTAGTTACACACGATTGGGTCATTCTGGCACATTTCTTTTCTTTGAAAAATTCGAAGCATCAAGTAATTGGTTTAACATGCATATAAAATATATAACTCTTTTTTTTTTTAATATAACAACCTTGTAAATATTTTCTAAAGATATTGGAGTATATGTAAAAATCACTTTATCATTTTTGTGTATTTATCAAAATGATGAAAATTATATTCCGAGGTACGAACGACCTATCGGTATGTGTATGTAGTGAGAACTGGGAAATTATCGTGCCTATTAAAGATTAAAGTGAAGGAATATTCCTTTAGAAAGAAAAACGTTTTTCTTAAAGTGATCTTATCTTATGACAAAAAAGAAGATAAGAAGGCTATTGTGATTACGTAATAAATGAACTTTGAAGAAAATCTCATGTATCTGCATGAGCTTAACGCTGTCTTATCACTGAAAGATGTTTTTAACAAGATCCTTCTTTGTTAGTCTACGACACACAATGTACTTTTTTTTTTGCTGAATTGTTTACATTTTAATAAATTGTTAAAAATTCTGCATTCTGTTTGGTGCAATTCTGATAATTCACTAAAACACAAACAATCCAACAAGAAAAAAAATGCATCGTGCATCGTAGGCTTTAGAGATACGTTTGGTTTACGGAAATGTTGAAATTGGCAGAAATATGCTTTTCAAAGGGCAAATTTAAGAAGTTTATGAAAAAAAAAAATGTTTTAATCAATCTTCTTATCTACTATTCTAAATGATAACGCAACAAAATTGACCTGTATTTACTTTTAGGTCCGCATTCATAATCGTAGATCGATCCACGATTGATCTTCGTTTCAGGCGAGATAGGTTTGAACTAAAGATTGAACCAATCAGATTTATTAAATCGTGGTTTGAGAAGCGTTTTTCAAATGAAAGACCGATTCAAACTTAGCTCAAATCGAATCTCAAGTTGAATCACGACTATGAATACGACCCTTCGACATCTCTTTGAATTTCTTCCTCCGCAATTTTGCAATACCTCTTTAAATTATGATAGATTGCGTGAAATGATCGAGTCATGCTCGAAAACGAAGCTATTACGTGTAGATTCTATAATGTATGTATGCGGATGCTTCTAAATCGCTGATTCATTACAATTACCTGATTAATCTCTTTCGTAATAATAGACATTCTTCTAAGAGAAACCGAACGCACGGCATTGCACGGTGGGAGTATTGAAGAAGCGTTTACCATAAAATACGACTTTTTTATTATAAAAAAGAGCTGTGAGTACCACACATTCTGAATTATCTCCTCATTGCAGAAAATCATTTTAGATTTTAATACGGGATAGAAGTCGTAACGATCGTAGGATTTTAAGTCGTAGAAAATTGTAAATCAATTATAGTCGATATTTCGTTTTTCATATTCGTGATTGATTAATTTTCTATGTCTTAATACCCTACGATCACTATGACTTTTGCAGATTAAGCGTTGAAGATTGAAAATTGTACCAGTCCTGCAAAAGAGGAGAATATTTGACTCGATCAATTCTCACAAGTACAACCACTTATAACTACGTTTAAGCGATTGTAGAATACATCAGAACATTCTTTACATCAGAACGTTTTCGACACTGTTGCGTCTATTCTCACGAAGGTAGACACGTGGATTTTACCTCACATAAAAGTCGGGAATGAAAAAGAATCATATTTTACCGACATAAATATACGAGAAATACAAATGGATTGTTTGACAATTTTGACGATTATTACTTGGAACGATTATTTAAGTTTGTAATAATTGCGCAATTTTTTAGAGATGTTATAATTGTTTTTAGGGCAAGATGGAGGAGGAAGATATAAGGGCGGCAGTGGAGCTGTACATTTATGACCTTACCAAAGGAATGGCCGCAATGATGTCGCAGATACTCATTGGTAAGCATATGAGGACTTGATGATACTATTAGTTAGTTACAGTTACTTAAATATATCGCTTTTATTTATTTTTTTATTTGACTATTTTTGGAATAATTTATTACAACGAAGATAACGAACGTATGATTAATTAAATGGTAGAAAATTCCGAAAATGTAAATGTTTATTTATTCTATTATTACTCGATACTTTTTACTTGTTAAAATGTTTATTTTGTACTTTGAATTAAACTATTGAATTAAACAATGTTTAATTTAGTAAATAAAAAGAGGACGAAGAGCTTTTTCCTATAAAAAAAAATCGTCATTGACTTAAAGAATCGAGCCCTACGTCACGTAAATATATCTGCGTGCATTGTGATCAATGATTGCTCATAATATTTATCAAAACAAAATGTTGTCTTCATCGTTATTTTCATCGGATGCAATTTTAAGCTCCCATTACCTTGAGTCGAAATGTTATTTAAAGATATGTAATGTGACGGAAAACATATTTCTTTATTATGCGCCGTGGAAACGGTAACCGCAGTTCTTCTTTACGTTGCAAATAATAGACAAAGTGAAAGAACTAAGTATATCGTATAACACTGAATTGACACATGCATTAGTAAAATTCTCATTGAGAAATCCTTCTATTCAGAGAATATAACTCCGAATGACAGAGGATCATTTTAATCATTTTTATATGTTCGCGATATTAGTTGCGTTTCCAGTTTGTCGAAAAAAATCTGATGTTATCAATCGATTTCTTGTCTCGTTTCCTTTGATTCTGCCAGTCATGCATGCTCTTAATACGCAGATTATCATTATCGCCGCCTTTACTCTTATTTATTCCTTTTCAACGTTCTCACTCTTGCCAAATCGTACAGACGATTTCGGATTAAAATATATTTGCGATTCAAATATATAAACAGCTAACGAGAATTGGTGACATTTTAGGCAACGATGACTCAGAGAGCGACAATCGTGTCGCATCGGTCAGCTTCATTTAAGACGGTTTAACGGTCGATGTGCTCCACTGAGACGCAATGGGATGTGCGCAAAAATAAAATGAAATTGATGCACGAAATAAAGTTGGAAAAGAACGTTAGAAAAACACATACATCGTATATGATATCTGACAAAAAGTTCTCGGACTGCGCAGCAATAAAAAAATACGGATATCTCAAATAATAAATTGTTATATATTTTTTCTTTCAAAATAGTTCCTTATGACATCAATACACTTCACACATTTTAATGCAAAACCTAAAAACTTGTTTTAATGTCCATAGCTGGAATGCTATATTCAGAGTCACATTCCTCTAAATATCCTTCTTATTTATAGCTTTTATTTACATCTTTCATGATGTTTTTAAGTTTTATATCAAAGATATGAGGTATATTGACGTTATATGGAGTACTACTTTGAAAGATATCCAAACAGAACACAACAAGTCATTATAGTATCAAAATGATATCAAAATATATATATCTCTAACTAAAATATTATTTACGATTCATTTTAACGTCATTTTGACGTTACCGTGACTTGTTGGTTTTCTGCGGGTAAAATATAACATTTTATTGTCTGAAGCTTTGTTCTTATTGCTGCAGTCCGAGAACTTTATTGTCAGATTATGTATGTACCTTGATTTATTTGCGATGCAGATGCTAGCTAATTTTTGGGATATAGAAATGAATGATTCGAAAGACGAAGGTGTTATTCGTAGGTGAAGACGTAGAAACACGCGCGGCACGCGCGGCGATAATTTAAGAGAATCGCAGGTGCACCAATACGGAAACAGCTGGAAAGGGTGCCAGAACTCGCGGTGCCCCATAACGCGTATGGAATTCCGTGCGAATGGCGTAAAGTACGGACTGTGTGTGCCACGTGTCCGAGCTACGTATTCCCGCACTCTCAGACGTCTATTTTCGAGTGCGTCGAGGGCAGCGTTCGTTCCAATGCCCTGAGAACATTTTGATCCGCATAAATTGGCAGTCGCTCCAGACCGAGCGAGTGCCGAGTCCAGACCTCGAAAACGTGCGGGATTATACATGTATTGCGGATAAGTTGAATAATGACGTAGAGAAGAGAGAATTATGAGTCCCTCGAGAAATATCTCCCAGATATATCCGATTATAAGGATTTGTAACTAAAATTCCAATCGAATTAATGTTGTCATTATTTTATTGTCATAATTTGTCATTTAATTATTCGATAATTATTTCTAAGTCTAGTTTCAAAAAGTTTCAACATTTAGGGAGTCTATTTTTTTTTTTTTGAATTTTTTACAATTTGTCCTCGAATAAGATTCGTTTTCATTTGTCATGTTCCGATGGTATTTCTTGTCTCAAAATGCGTGACATTGTTTCGACGCCACTGTAATGGCTTTCTCGTTCTATAAAGGTAATTTAGTACGATAAAGATGTAATTGTACCCTTTAAGACACTAGAAAATTTGCATTACGTAAAGTTACGATCTATAAATGTATCCCGTAGCACCTATGGAATCGGAAGACCGACAGCCGCCTCCCGCCTTTGAATTCGTCGTAAACGTCAGCGTCTCGCATCGCTCTGGAAGTAATTATAACGGCCAGGTTATTTCTTGCGAGGTCGACATCACTGGGAGGCCCGAGAGGCGCAATGAGAAAGCCACGAAACGACGCGTGTACGCGGATGTACTTAGCTATTTCCGCGGTGCAGAACTGGGTCAAAGGAGGCACATACAGGTCCGCAAGCTCGAGCTTCATCCGGGCTCGCGCGAGCTTCGCACTCCGATCTAGCCAACGAATTTACGCGAGGACAAGCCGCAATTATGATCGTCTCTGTCAGACCTTGAACAAATATCGCGAGCCTGAGTTTAAGCCTGTCTCGAGGTTGCTTCATTCGGATCACGCCGGAGATGTAAATAGAATTAGTTTTCGTCTAATTCCGAATTCTTTCTGGATCCGAAACTTGAAAACTTGAAAACCAGCTATAATCTTTCGCTAAAATAAGGAATCTTTAGAATTCTCATCTTCCAAGAAATATTTACCGAGAGACGTCGTCTTGCGTTGTTTTAAAATTAAAATTATTTCTACCGATAAATATTTATCGTACGTTTATTTATTATTATATCCCGTAAAATGATGATTATTGAATAATTTTTTTTCTTTTATGTCGACAAATAAAGGCGCTAAAATAATACATACGTATATATATATATATATATATATATCTGCCAATATGCATATCTTATTAAATATTATTTTATGCGACTATCGCATTCTGTTTGTCGTTTAAAACAGCGGTCGTTAATCTCCAATTTTTGTTCGCAGGTCGCCAATTGGATGGAATATGGCACACGGCGATAGTCGCATACGGAAGAGAGTACTTCTTCGGCCCCGCTGGCATCCAGAGTGTCCGACCCGTGAGTATCCTCCGCCACTGGCGGATCTGATTATCTCGATTGGGATGCGATCGAGCGTTTAGTAGCGCTGTCTGCATCACGGCGAAACGCTAAAATACAACGCGGGGTTTTCGTTCAGTTACGCAGGTGGTTCCCGTCGCGCCGTACTCGATACTCCGCCCGAGTGCTTTCTTTCATCTTCGTGAGTATCTCCGCGGTTTAGAAACATCAATTGCGGCTCCCAGCTAGTATCAACAACGCATTAGTAAGCACCCGCGTTCTTTGCCGCCGAGTTCTCTCGGCAGCGAGATTTCTGTTTGCTAAATAAACATCAGATCCATTCTCCTAATACCGCTCCCACGCGTCAATATTTCTCTCTTTTCATTTACATGTTGCCGCAACAATATTAACAATCTCAGGGGGTTGTCGGGTAACTTTTTCTTCGGGGCAGAAACGTGAACATTTTTTCTACTCATACACATACAAAAAGTTTTCATTTTTCACGTTTCCATCATCAGGGAAAAAGCTATATGACCGATACCGTGATCTAAAAACATAGAGCATTGGATTGTTCCATCAAAATTGATCGACAAAAATGAGAGAGATAGGACACAAGACAGCCAGTCCCTATTTCTTTCTATTCAACTGTTCTAATTCTATTCAATTATAATATCTTAGAAAGAGAAGAGTATTGGGGTCGTCTTCACGCTTTCTCTCTCTCTCTCTCTCTCTCCCCCTCTCCCTCTCTTTCTGTCTTATTTTGTTGATACACTATTTAGGATGCGGTCCACTTGATGCTTCGAAGCATTTTTTGATTAGTTAGTTAGTTAGAAAATTCTTTCTTCCTTTGATTGGTCAATCAAAAGTAGCCTTAGATACAGATGGTGTATGATCCATAACTCTATGTCTTTGCTCTGATCAGGCATCAGTCGATGGGATCATCGCGCAACGACGTCGCTGGGACAAGTGCAGTATAAATAACCCGGGGCCGTGTTATCAATGAGCTGAAAGAATTAATGATTCCCGCCGCTTCCCGTCGCACTTGATACACCTATGCATGCGTATAGCCCGAAGTCGCGACCGATCATCGAAAGGCCTAGTCGCAGAGCGGCGAAGTCACTCGGCGGGCCATACGATACGCTAGATACAAGCGGGAACTAAATTTGGTGTGGTTCAATCCGAAAATAATCCCCGCTGCACGCATACGCACGCACGCGTATACACGTGCACGCATACATCCGCTTCCTCTCTCTTTCTTCTCTCTCGCGACCACTCTCTCTTTCCTGCCTTATGCTCCATGCGTACAGACTCGACGTAAGGTAAGGTGAGTCCGTGCGTGCTTACATCCTCGTATACACACGATAAAATGTTCCCCAATAATTTCAATGTGCTTGCTTCTTAATCTCACCGCAGTCATGCAAATGGTCCACCCTCTGGCGCACGTTCAGATTCCCACCCGAGTGCCGCCCAGGTATATCACTTTATTCTTGTTTAATATTCGGGGAATAACAAAAATAAAATGATACCTAAGTGACACTTAGGTGAGAATCTGAACACAGCCTTGCTTGGTTAAATAGTGAAATTACCTTAGAACAGTTCTTCCCTGCGTTACTTGAGCTCAGACGAAGCATTTTTATGGTCTTTTTACGGTGTTTGAAGGTATACAGAACGATACCGGCGATAAAAATCACTCGAGATTAAAATACAGCAGAGAAAGACTCTGCTTGAGTAAACTTGAGTGAACTCCTCTTGATAGTTGAAGAGTTGGTTCTTGAAGAATACCAAGTTTATAAGTCTCGAGATACGATTTAAACCTTCTCTCTTAAACTGCTCGTCTTTTCGTAATATCGAATGTGCGAATAGCTTCCAAGTTTTTCTGATACAAGAATTTCCTTGTTTTTTAACAGAATGCGAAGCTATATTTAGTATCCCAGTAGTGCAATTTCTTTTAGTGGCAGTTCTGAAAGAACCTGCTATTTCTGGAATCGTACTACAATTGTATTATAAAATTATAATATCTTCTTCTGGTCATTATGATTGCTCCGTGCGAGCTGAAGCGGTGTCAAGCAGTCGCGGAAGTAATAATCGTGACACCGACGCGCATCTAAAAGCAACGCGATGAAATCATTACAGCAATACTTTATTATGCTGCACGCCGACGAAAATATGCACGTGACTAACACACGTGTAATTGTAATGCGCGTCGCTCTGACATCTAAACTTGTATAATATATTCATTTCCATCTACGAATTAGTCCAATTGTGTTAAAAAGATTTCTATTCAAAATTTTTATCAATATGCATATCTTTGCCAACAATTCTATAATTAATTTTGGTTCGATCATCGACCGAGATAATCAATAATTGTTTACGAGCCAATTACAAAGCAATTACTAGCAATTTTCTCATTTATTGCCCATCTAATTACTGTTCAAACTATAAACATGGTTGTCCCTGTTCACATTTGTATCTTCTACTCCTTTTTGCATATAAATTTTGTTCGACAGGAATCACGATTTATACAACAAACAGTTATCTTTCTGTCGCCAAGATAACTTCTCGTTTCGTCATCCACGTAATGCATATCGGCAATCGCTTGCAATTGGCCTTTACGACGTAGGGTGCGATTTACTTAATAGGTACTGCAAATACTTTATTGATCAATCAAAAGAACGAATTTTACGAATTGACCAATCAAAGAATACTTCAAAGTATTATATTTGTAGCATGAAATAGAATCCAAAAACAGACCAAGAGAAAGTCAAGAGAAATCAAGGTGACTTTATTTTGACGTTATGAAAATCGAAATGATGATTTTTGGTCACAAAATTTTACTGTTTTATTGGCGCATAAATAAAGTCATTTTGATTTTTTGTTGACTTTTGTATTCCTTGGGAGTGCTTTTTTTCCGGGTTTCATTAACATCAACCGATTATGTTTATTGACGTCTACGTCACTTCATCATTCTACATAGTATTGGAAAGAGATGAGAAACAAATTGAGCCTCGCTGAGTTAACCGTGAGTTGTGAAACTGGATCTAACCTCCTTGTCCAACAAACGTTGTTTAAATAGGAAAATCTCTGAATTGTTTCCTCCCCAGCGAGTATCCCTTTTTTTCCGAATGGTTTTTCCTCGGCCAGCGATTTCAGGAACGCAAATCTCATTTTGCGCGCGCGCGCCACGCATTTATCCTTCAACGTTGGCGTCTCGTTCGCCGTGGCGTTCTCCAAGCATCGGCAGTCCGCGTGCGAACCGTTTCCCGCTCTCAGGAGTGCTCTCGAAAAGAGTGAGGAAGGACAGTCCTGCGACGGTTTTTTTCATTCCATTTTTACTTATTTCGTCTTACTTTGAATAATATTTTCGTAAGTGAACACGGACGCGTTTCCGATTTTATTCCGCACCCACCGGAAGTGAAGATCTGGTGATATCGAGTACTGCTGAGAAAGAGAGAAAGAGAGAGGGGGGGGGGGATAAGTGCAATTTTAGGATACAGAAGATAAAAGAATAGAGTATCGGAGATTATACAATTTTGTGAGATAATACAGTTTTATAAATGATGATTCTTAATAGAAAGTTACGGATGTAATAAAATGATATTATAAAAATATCAAATAATGTCCGTGATACGTTTATATTAGTTTCTAACTTCCCAAGAAAGTTTGGTTTGGACTCTTAAATCTGCTAACTGAAAGACAGTAATTAATTGCTTACTTTAAGTATTAAAAGCACTATTGTTCAGTACTTTTAGTAGTCCAAATAAATAATTAACTGCCTTTCAGTAATAAATTGGCTATAATATTAAATTGACTAGTATTAGATTAAGGAAATTTTTAGTCATCGACTGAGTTTAGTGTGCTAATTGGATAACATCTCCGATTCCTGAATGATAATTTCTATTCTGTTAATTTCTATTCTCATATCTTGGCTCCGAGAGCGACGGAGACTTCTCGTCTTACTTTTACTTTCCCAATTAATCCCTCCATTCTCATTGGAGGATGATATTTCGTAATTTAATGCAAACTAATTAAATTTTCTTATCAACACTCGCTACATCTCGCTTCCACGTTTCCACGAAATGTATCGCGTAGATTCCATTTATTTTTTAGACTTGAGAATTTGCACGATCGACACGTCCTCGCATTAATCCTTGAGAGATCCAACCCTTGGAGCGCGTAATAAACGCTTTCTTCCCATTTTGTCTCTCTTCGCTCTTCACTTCCGCCGGGCCACGTCTTTCTTTTGCGTTCTAGAAGAGGTCGCGGCTCCAACGCATACCGCGGGCGTCTATTTTCGGTGGTTTCTCGCAGGGAAGCGCGAGATTTGTCGTAGTTCTAAAATTACGCGGCCACTAATGCCAGGAGGAGGCGGGTGTTCTCTATCTTTCTCATTCTGTCTCTTTTACTCTCGTTCTCTCTCTCTCTCTCTCTCTCTCTCTCTCTCTCTTTTCTCTTCTGTCTTTCTGGCGAACGAAACCGGCTGCTGGATCAGCGCAGCTGCCGCGAAATTGACATTGACGGCACGGCGCGATTTTCCCGGACGCGATTTTAACGCGACCGCTCGACGCATTTCGTGTTTCAGGGCGGCACGGAGTTACGAGATCCGCAAAGAGTTGAGAAACTCGGCGAGACTTATCTGCCCTACTCGGTCTTTCTGGAGTACATAAACGGCTTGGGGACCTCTACGTTCGCGTAAGTATCATCGGCTGCATGCGTGCATGTTGAGATGTGTGTGTTTGTGTCGAGAACTGCTTCGGCCGCTTTCGTTTTCTATATCTTCATTTTGTACTTAAAACTGTGAGAAGGCAAATTATGTGCTCGTATGTTGATTACTAAATTACTTTAAACGGCACTTTACTTATTTTCCTTTTTTTTTCTCTTTACTTTTCAAAGCGTGATCACCTTTAACTTGAGTTACGTCTCTCCCTCTTCGTAAATTTATTTTGTTTATTATTTCCCTTGTTTATTATTTCTCCTTTGTTTATTATTTCCCTTTGTTAATTTATCGAAGGAATCGCGTGTCGCTTCTACGATCATCTTCCATAAAGACTTTCATTTTTTGCATAAGATTTATTTATTCAAATCTAAGAAAATTATTCGATTTTTTTTTTAAATTACACATTTGATTTTCTGTTGTTTTATTATTTTATTTTTTTATTGTTTGGTCTTATTATCTAATAACTTAGTTTGTCTTTAATTCCTGAAAATTAGTCGGTTTTTGTAGAATAAACTCTTTTCTTTCAGACCGGGCACGTACAACCTTTTCAAGCATAACTGTAATTCCTTCACCGAGGAGGTTAGTAACTTCCTGGTGGGCAAGGGCATTCCCAAGTATATCCTTGATCTGCCAGAAGAAATATTACAAACGTACGTTTTATTAATTGTCACGATTTACTATTTAATCATACATTTATTATAGAAAAATATATAAGATACCTGTTTACTTTATTTCGAAGCGATGTTTTAATACGAGTTATATTTTCAGTCCTATCGGACAGGCTTTAATTCCGTTGATAGAAACATTAAGCAGTAGCTCAAGTGCTGGATTCACGGTAGGCCAAAGATTCGTTGAGCCGAGAATCCAGAGGGAAACTTCGCCGGAATATCAACTCCTAAATACAGCTATCGAAGAAGCAAGGTATAGATTTTAACACGTGATTATCATTTAAGTTTTTATAAATATTTTACTAAACTATATCGAACATATTTGCAGATTGAATTCAATCGCGTTAGAGGAACGGAGGAACGTCATTAACGAGAAATTAGCGAAGAAAGACCGAAAGAAGAAAAAGAAGAAAAAGGAGAAGAAAGATAAGAGTAGCAAGGAGGCCACCAGCAGCGACAGCAATAGTACCGGACCGAGCAATTGCCGTGCAGATATGGCGGAAAATGAAAGTTTGTAGAATTTTATATAAATTAAAAACAATTGCAATAATAAAAAAATAATATAACAAAAACTCTTACAATTTGGAAAGTAATTTTTATATTTATTATTTATTAGGTGCAGTCGGCGAAACACTGCAGGCGGCCAATGGAGAAAATGCACCCGCGGAGATGCTGCCGTCCGAGCGAGTGATGCAAATGGAGGAGGACGAGAAGCGTGAGCAAGAAGAGAAAAAACGCCATCGAGATCCACCGATAGTTTTCAAAGACTTGGTGGATGTACAAACGGAATATGAAGACTTGGTAAGCGCTCTCAAAGAGAAATTGAACGATGAGGAACAAACTTGCCTTGGTGAACTACGGCAATATGTCTTGGAGGACGAGGGCTCCTGGGCTTTAGGCGACAACTTTCTGAACTTCGTTGGTGAGTCACTGAAATAACACAAGTAGCTCTCTCAAGTCTCTCTTTGAAAATGTGTCTGATTTATTCGATTAAATTTTGAACTTACTATAATAGATATTAGAACACTATAAAAATAAACTTTTAAGTAGAGATTTAAAAACACATGATATACTGTGTTAAATTCAATTCAATTAAATGGATTTTAGGTCGAGTTCTTTACGATAAAACATTAGATAGTGATGTGCGAGTAAAGCTGTTGAACGTGCTGTCCGTTGCCGCATTGAAGGACGATGTGATTCTGTTGTTACATCAAGACAGACGAGAGCACATCATCATGACTTACGCCTTCGATATCGATCGGCATCCTCCAGAGGAGCAACTTCCACTCGCACAGTTTGTACGTACAAACGAAATTATTACAGTAAAACTAAAATTATTTTTATATTTTGATTCATATAGTTTCCTGACTTTTTGTACATTAGTGGAAACTTCTAATATTTACACTTACTTTTCTGAAAGCCTTTAACGTCAATAACTATTTCGAACAGTTGGCAAATATGTTCGAGAATCTGAGCAGCTCGGAGTGGTTACTTTACATATCGGAGTGGCAGCATCAGGATCAGAACGTCAGCAGCAATATCAGCAACATAAGGGTGACGACAAAGGTTGCTGTGCACTCACTGCTCTCAAATTCGGAAGATCTGCAGATCCGCGGTGCAGCCATTATCCATAACCTTGCCTGCAAGGAGGTAAAAACTGTGGTCTGTATCCTTCCTGTCCAATTAACATTCTCATCTTTCGCCGATTTTTGCTTTCACTTTCATAACTCATCGCTACAAACGTGTCGCGTATCGAAGGAGTTTTATTAAAGATTATAATTCTACAGTTATTTAATTTTAAGCTACAGATATTTCTTTACGTTATATAACAGACCTCTGCGTTATAAATTTTACTTATTTTTATGAGTTTGAAACTGGACTGTAGAAGAAGAAATATGAATCGGAATTGTCTAATATTAAAGCGCGATTCTTCGATGCGCGATATCATTTGTAATGCCGCTTTCGGAATGCGTGCTTGCCGATGTCACAAGAGAACAAGCTCGCACTGTGTCCTAGGAAAGAAGTGCTGCCTTTATTATATATAATAGAAAAAAAAAAGAAATATTTGCTCTGTAAATTGCTGACTATGCTAAACAATGCGATCGTCGACGTGGACATCTCGCCTGGTAACCCGATTTCACGAACGAGCAACGAAAAGAACATAAAAGAGAACATACATATTTGCCATTAATCAAAAAGGACAGCTCAATTAAAGGATACACGATTCATTCGATGCTCGTTTGCATGCGCACACTGAAGCTCTCTAATCGCTCGGATAGCGCTGCGTGTGACGGATATCTTTCCAGAAATCGGATACTGTTTTTTCAGAAAATGAACAAAAGCAAAAATCTGCGGCGACTTTTACCGAAAGGCAGCATTTCTAAGGTACCTATCCAAATCCATGTTAGATCGAACCGTGCGCTGCGGTAAGTCGTCAATTCTTATCGGCTTCTTGCGTGCAACTGAATACACACGCCTAATATGCAACGCGATGTGCGCGACAACCGCGATTAATTTTTCAAGTGAGCGTTTGATAATATCTCGTACATGTATCGATTACTAAAATTACGAAAAATTACAGATAACTCACATAACACAACGGTGCTTCCAAGTTTAATCCTAAATCTATAACATTACATTCCGTAAAAAAATTGCATATAATTATTTTTTGTGATTACTATGGAAAAATACATTCATTTGATTAAATTAATTTTGAGATGGACGTAGAACGTTCATTTCAAACTTTTGCTGTAATTTATATTGCAACTTTACAATTGTTTACTTAACATCGCGTCGTGCAGCCATATTTTCAAATATTTTTTTTTCCATTTGCAAGAGAGTGAGATATGACGTGATTTCTAAATCTATCTTACGTAATGTATGAACTGTAGGTGTTTGACGACGTCGCAGTAGAACTGACGATGGCGTTACTGCAATACTTCAACGGCAGTCCCGCGGAAGAGCAGCTGTATACGTGCATGAAGTCGCTGGCGCGTTTCACGCAGATCAGCGGCCAAGAAGTGCCGCAGCTCATACAGATGATTGGACCCGAGCCGAACAAATTCAGGGGTACTTCTCAGAGAATCGACGAACAAATCGAACAAGTTAACCAGAAGCTGCGTTAAATATCCGTCGACCGTCTGCGAAAATGTCGTATTCCACAAGTGCGAGATAAAACCGGACACGCTTCCGCTATGTTTAAAATGAATTTTTACTTAGAGATTCTATCGAGTCAGTCACATTTATTATTATTATTATTATTATTATTATTATATATTATTATTTTTTATGAAGATTAATTATTGTTGTCATTTTAATATATTATTATATATGTATGTTACTATTACTAGTAGGCGCGCCGCAGCGTTTCTTCAATTTTACTTTACACTTTTTTATTCGACATCTTTTTTTGTAAATAATTAAAGCTAGCGACACTTTACCGTTCTATGCGGATCGGTGAAAGATAGGAATGAAACGCATAAACGCGCGTGGCGCGATGACGCGTCCGTCATGCGTCCGACTATCTCCCGATTAAAAAAATCTCTGTCCGTTAGAAAATTTCCGCACAAAATCACCAAATTAGCTGTATCGAATAGCATGTCGTAAGCGTTTATGCACATCATACTTTACCGATTATACGTCCGTTCGACGCTTTTCGTCGCAAAGACGCAATAAAACTTTGGCAACAAAGATAACTTTCCCAGTAATATTGACTATTTTCCTCATTGATTTCACAAGAATACGCATTAGAAGCAAAAAGAAGTAGGAGTCTCACGGATTATACAGTAGTATCAGCCTGCCACGTATCTTACATCATATTATGAAAGAATTAGAAATAGAGCAAGTAGTAGCAGTAAAGTCAGCTGTTATTAATCCCTTGTCAAGGTTTCTGGCGCCCGTTTACGCGGGTCTTTATCAAAATGTCAACAGTATGCATGACACAAAACCAGTGAGAATTAGTAGCGTAATTAAAGGGATTTCCTCACTGGTATTTTTACAACGAGGTTTTAAGAACGTGGGGATGATAAGATCATGCGCAGCTGATGCAGAAGTACCGAGAGATCCGGTATTGCAACACGCTTGCGATCGCAAAGCCGCGAGAGCATAGTAGTCTCGCGTATCAGATTCTGATTAGTTTCTTGTATCTTGTCGACGCGACGCGAATAAAATGTCCAACGGAGAGCCCCCGTCGTTTTCGATTTTGAGACAGAAACCGCGCTTCACAGTGGCAAAGTACTTGCCGATACTCGGCTGGTTACCGCATTATACTCGGTTTAAGGCTGTGTCAGATCTGATAGCGGGTATCACCCTGGGTCTGACTATGATCCCTCAGAGTATGGCCTACGCGGTACTGGCTGAACGGATTCCACAGGTATCACAGTTCGTCGTTCTCCTTGCTCACTGTAATTAAGACTATAAGCGTAGATAAGCGGATATCTAGTTAATGACCATAAACATAAATATATGTATATAGTATTTTTTTAAATCTCAATCCGTAATCTCTGCACTTAAAAGAATGCACTTTTAAATTTTATTATCTTCTTAGATGCTAGATTGTTCTAAGACTTTTTTTGGTCTATATAATATTATTATATTTATTACCGATATGATGTGTCTCTCTCTGTGTCTTTAAAAATGTATCATATGACAAGTAATACAAATACTTACAGTATGGTCTGTATTCTTGTTTTGTGGGCGGTTTCGTATATATTATCTTGGGAACTATCAAAGAGGTCTCGATTGGTCCGTCATCCTTGATGGCTCTTCTGACGTTGCAGTACACACGAAACTTGCCGCAGGATTTTGTAATACTCTTGTGTTTTCTGGCTGGATGTATAGAACTTTTAATGGGCATACTAAATCTAGGCTTGTATTCTAGAATTATCTAATCGACTAAATTTCAATTATCATCGATCATGTTTTTTCATTATTATCTATTGTATTGTTTATAAGATTTAACAGAAGACTCTTCCTATACAAAATAAATAACAATAAATAAAGGGCAAAGTAAGAGTCAAACACATTTCTTTAAAAAAGTTACACAATTAAAAGAATAAATTATTGTACAAATAGAGAAAAGTAAAATTGAAAAAATATATATAATAAAATAAAAACTCAGTTTAAATACAAATAAATTACAAGTTTCGGCTACCGGATTGAGCCCTCTTCAGACATTAACTTATCTTAAAAGATAAAAAGACTTCTTACGAAAAAGTATTTTTTCGTAAGAAGTCTTTTTATCTCTTTTATCAACTAGAACTTTTCCAAGAGATATGAAACACATTTGACTGTTCAATCGTATGTGAATAATGTCGAATTTTACATCAAGACTCACCCGAACTGTGAATATAGTGAATATGCGAACATTTCCGATAATTAATTTTGTACTGCGATTTTTTTCGATAAGTTAATGTCTGAAGAGGGCTCAATCCGGTAGCCGAAACTTGTAATTTATTTGTATTTAAACTGAGCTTTTATTTTATTATATATATTTTTTCAATGTTACTTTTCTCTATTTGTAATTTATTCTTTTAATTGTATGACTTTTTTAAAGAAATGTGTTTGACTCTTACTTTGCCCTTTATTTATTGTTATTTATATTGTTTATAAGTACACCAACGTAAAATTGATTGACACGATTCTTCCTGCAGGATTTTTGGTAGACTTCATATCTATCCCTGTCACAACGGGTTTTATATCAGCAGGAGCGTTTATTATAATTATCGCTCAGATACAGGGCCTTCTGGGATTGAAATATAAGTCGAAAAATATTACAGACAATCTGTACAAATTATTTAAAAATATTAATAAGATCCGGCTTGCCGATTCCGCACTCGGAATTTTCAGCATCTTATTTCTCCTGTTCTTTAGAGTGAGTGCCGAAATTATAAATGAACAATTTATAACAATTATAAAAGTATCATGTAGATTTTATCTTTAGAAATTGAAAGATATTGACTATCCTTGTATGAGAAACAAAAGGGATGCTCCTAGAAATGTAATAATAAAAAAAATACTTTGGTACTTCTCCATTGGTAGGAACGCTCTCATAGTGCTTATATCAACCACAATAGCGTACCAATACGAAGTGAATACAGGATCCACTCCATTTATACTTTCAGGTATTTGTAATTATTATTGGTCGATTCGTCGAATAAATGATAATAATGATTTTTTTCAATGATATAGCTAAAGTAAATAATCTATTCATAAGCTGAAGTAAAACATAATCTATTCAGTGTAATTATTATAAAATTATGGAAATCTGATCATTTATAACTATTTTTAAAGCCATTATTCTCTTATTATTCAATTTGACACTAAGCAGTTTCATTTAAAAATGTATTACGATCATGGAGAGTTACGGCATGTCAACATTTTTGTCTTACAGGAAAAATCGAAGCCGGCCTCCCCAAAGTATCGTTACCGCCATTCTCATCGCAAGTAGGAAATCAGACTTACACTTTTTTTGACATGTGCGCTCACTATGGATTAGGACTAGGGATACTTCCTGTTATATCCGTCTTGGCAAACATAGCGATAGCTAAAGCATTTGGTATCAATTTCCATAATTCTTTCAATTTCAATCTCGAGTCAGACAACAGATTGCCGCTGTAATCATAATAAAATAAAATTAGACTTAATAAAGTAATTTCATTATATTCAACAAAATCTGATTTCATTAATTTGATTGAAACTGAGCAAATACACCACTCTAATTAACAATAGCACACACAACAATTAGTTAGTTACAATTTCCTACTCAACAATATAACTATTATGTGTTATATAACTGTTATATCTTATATTAAAGTTATATTACTAAGTGGAAAATTACAACAATTATGACAGTATTTGCTGTCAAATATATAATATATGTCTTTATTTCGAAAATTGAATATCCTCCTTATATATTATTTATCGTGCAAAATGAAAAGAAGAATTAATTGTCCGGGTAAAATATTAGGCATATCTTGAATATTTTTTTCCTCTACAAATTAAAATACTTCATATTGAATATTCTAAGCGAGTAAATAAAATTTTGTAACAATTAATTAATCTAATAGCGTTAGGCTCCTCCATTAACGCAACGCAGGAAATGCTGGCTCTCGGCCTCTCCAACATAGTGGGCAGTTTTGTGTCATCGCTTCCAACTACTGGTGCGTTTACCCGAAGTGCAGTCAGTAGTGCCAGCGGAGTGCAAACGCCTATGGCTGGTCTATATTCCGGTAACAGAAAATTAAATAACATTAATTTAAATTTTCAAAATGTCTTTATTTCTTTCGTAGCAAAGAAATACGAGATGAAGCTGAATGGGAGCCTGCTAAAAATTACTATTAGGTTGAAATGTACACTGAGAAAAAAATGCTGTTGATTCAATTAAAGTCTATATTACGAGCTATCACTAACATAAGTGATTAATTCATGCATATTTTTATTGACATAAAGGCCTTGATTATTGAAATAATAATTTATACCTTTACGTCAATAAAAATATACCCGAATTAATCACTTAGTTAGTGACAGCCCGTAATATAGACTTTAATTGAATCAACAACATTTTTTCTCAGTGTACGTTCGATTATATACTTGATGTATTAGGATTTATTAAATATTAGCATTTAATAACTAGATTTTTTATTTATAGGTAGGATAGCCCGAATTTTATGGAATATCCTGATTATCTTCATATAGAGACGTCTCGAAAGTACTCTTGGCAGGACGCCATTTGTCTTGATTTATTATATAATTTCAAGCAGAACAAGTCGTTATGCTATCATAATGATGTCAAAATAACTCTAAAATGATCATTTTTCAATCATTTCCGATTCATTTTAATGTCATTTTGACATTATCGTGACTTGTTACTCTGCTTGGAACATAAATGAACATAAAATTTAAATAACGCCGAGATAGTTATTTATTTCAAAAAATATCCATTTGCCTATATTTTTGTTCTTAAGCAACCATGTATTTACTTTACACCAATTGATTTGTCTCAAATTCCCTTTATAAAAGACTTATTAAGACACGATTATAAAAAAATTAATAGTTTACGAGATATTTGATATATTTTATATCAAAATGTGTCAGTATAAAATATAAAATAACTGTTGCGATTTTTCGACAACTTTATCTTAATATTTTTATATGCGGAGTAATCAGAGGAATCACATTGAATTATATAATTTTATTTAAAAAAAATGGTGATACCGTTTATATAACTTTAAAAAATTAATTTTTTTTTTAATTAATTTTACCAATATTTCTTTAAGACTGTATACAATTTTTATCTGAAACATTTTTTTCCGTATTTTTCACATTTTCTGAGATATTCGACTTATTATATAATATTTGAAATGTTTCACATTTGTATGAAAAATTTTTTGCAACATACAACACTAAAAAAATCCCGAATTTTTGGTTGTGTCCGAATTTTAAAGTTGATGATTCCTGGCTGATCGAGAGTTGGTCATCCTACTTGTAGCGCTTTATTATATTAATTTTAATTCACCTAGTTGCTTTAATTATTATTTCTTATTAAAAATTACTATATTTTATCATAATTTATTATTAAACACCTAATATAATATTTTGTGAATAATTAGAGAAATTTACGATTCTAATCTTGGCGCGATTCTAATCTTGGCGCTATTCTAATCTTGGCGTGTAATATGCAATATAACAGCGAGGCATTGTATAATGATATGAGATACACATGTGACATAAATATAGAACAAAACAAAGCTGTAACAAAAAATATTATATGACATTGCATTTTGCAGGTACTATGGCATTGCTGGCACTGAGCTTTTTAACATCATATTTTTATTACATTCCACGAGCGACACTAGCGGCTGTGCTGATATCCGCCGTGTTATTCATGATTGATGTGAAAATCATAAAATTACTCTGGAAGGGTAGCAGTCAGTATTACGTTTTCATGTGTACACAGATTAGATGAGAAGATAAAGCAATGTACTTACATATAATATACTTGTTTTCTTGCAGAAATGGATGCAATCGCAGCGATAGGGACCTTTGTGATCTCCACTTTTATCGGCATTGAGATTGGACTCCTTCTTGGTGTCCTTTTCAACTTGATCCTTTTCATTCGACTGTCCGCGAGATTGACGCTTCAAATAGTCAACTGCAAAGTAAATAAAATTGCTATCATAAAATTTTATCTTTTAGTATATTTTTATATAGACAAAAAAAGAAGAATAAATGTTTCTATTAAGTCACAAATGTTTCGTTATTCAAAAAATCGATATACTTTATACAGTAGTAGTACATAATACAAAGATACAAAAATAGTATCAAACAATGACTTTTTTTATTTAAAAGTTTCAGATGGGTATTTTTTTCTGTAAGAAATATATACTCAAAATATCCTCCATCATTTTACACATATGCTTGAATACGACTAATCTGATATTCATGTCATTATTTTAAATCTATTTGTGGTTATTATTATTTGTGTTTATTATTACATATAATAATAAAGCATTTGAGATCTAAAGTTCATAGGAACATTTGCTCTTTCTTTTCATCTAGAACCGTATAGGTGCATCATATTATTTAATATTAAGTAATATTTTAAGAAATATTCTTAGAATATTAAATTACATTTAATAAAAATATTACTTAATATTAAATAATATTATGCGCCTATAAGGGAAACCCCTTACGAATTTTTAAAACATATTTATAACTCGCCCTGTATACTTAACAAATATATATTTATATATAATACATATATGTCAATTACGTGTGTACATGAATGAGACTAAAATTATTTATTCTTTTTTAGACTCGTCTAGGAAATAGATATATGATGCTAAAACCCGAAAACTGTCTCTATTATCCCGCAGTAGCTTCCTTCTGCGAGAAAGTCATGAGTTTAGCTGGAAACGATGTGCCATTGATTATGAATTGCGAAATATTCAATAGTCTCGATTACACTTCCATCAAGGTATTAGACAACATTCGCCAAATAAAATCGATGAATAATTTATTTTTATTGATCTATAAATGATACTGCTATTCGAACTGTATGTGATTTTTTACGACAGGGTATTGAAACGTTGTCGAAAAGATTGAACAGCGAGAGAAATCAATTCTGGCTATTGCATCTTAATTCCAACATCGTGAAAAGTTTCAATATTCTCGCTGATAACAAATACATTCGTTTGATCGAAAAAGAAGAGAGCATCGCAGATGTTCTTTACAGTATGTATTATTATTATACGTATATATGAAATTTATTGTTCAATATTGAGATAATTAAGAGCTATAGTGGTAATTATCACGAAATGATAATTGGAATGTAATCTAATGATAAATGTTTTTTCAGACGATGTTTTATCTAGTAAAAATTCTGAAGATCGGATCAATATTACTGTAAAACAAGCAACGGAAATAAAAAATCTGAATCGCGGAGATCTTTTGTATTCGAATTCGCGAATACAAAAGATCTCCGGACAAAATGATTCCGAATCCAATGTCGAAGAATTGGCCTTAATGTCACCATCTGAATGTAAAATACAGCAATAACCAAATAACTCTGTCTTTAATATATAGCCTGTTGATTCTGTAGTTTTAAAAAAGCCACTTTTTTCAAAAATTGTAGAAAGAAAACTAAAATTATTTTCTTTTCGGACAAAAGTAAATATGGCAAATCTTACAAACACACATAAATTTTTCCAACGAATTTTTCTATTTTTGGGGAAGGAACCGAGAAAATCTGGAAAAATGGGAAAAAAAACGGTTTTTTCCGAAATTTTAAAACTATAGTTTTTAGTATTAATTCTAAATATAACTGGACGCTGCGTTCCGTAAAGCGCATGATTTGTCACTGTAGATTTGTTGAACGTTTGATAAACAAGAATAAAATAATACATTACGTGCATATATATAATATATTCGCTTTACGGAACCAAGGGAGAATTTAGATCGAAATTAAATTTTTAAAACAAGACGTTTAGATTCTATACGCTGTCTGTAATGTAAAGAGATAAAAATTTCTTAAAAAGGATTTATCGAATATATACATGACAACGACTTTGTTCGTCTTTTTTGCAACAGACTCGAATAGAATATGCATTTAAAGTGAAAAGATTTCTCTCTATATCAAAGAAACATAGCATGATAATGTTACGTTTATTAATTAAAAGTTGCTGTTTGCGGCGCAAACCGAACGCTTTACTAGCGGCTCGCTGTGAGATTTAAAGCAAGATGAGCGTATATTAACGCCGAAACCATCAAATTGACTTCCGACCTACTAGAAAATTCACTATTATTATTTCACATTACATTATGAAGCACAAGGATATAATCATAACCGTCACGAATCTTCTAGAAGGTCGGAGTAGCAAAAGCGAGCGCTGCACAGATCCGTCCGCCACATTCAATAGAAGTTTTTTGTGAGACACGAACGCGAATTCTTTTCGACATCAACACTCAGTTTTGCGCTGGAAGTTCTTCGCTCACGCTCTGATTAATTTTTTCAATCGTTGCACCGCCATTGCTATCGCAAATTACACGCATCGAGATAGGTCATAAGTCACAGGATGGTCTAACATATAATTGGGCCTAGATCGCGAACGGCCGTGCACTTTGTACGTTAATTGGTAAGCTCAAATACACGAAGATAGAAAATAAGTCTGTCTTTCTTCTCCCCCGTAATCTCCTTGCAGTCCATATTAAGCATTTCCGATTGCACACCTTGATGAAAATGTAAAGCTTGTCGAAGCGTCAAAGAAATGTGAACAAAGAATTTTAACGCTTCTTAAATACTTCATTGATTTGCCATTGACTCTTAGTGGTTTTGAATATTTATACACACTCCACGATCTCTCCCCAAACGCTTCGTAAAGTGTGCCCGAAACGCATCTGTCATACGTTTAAAATTTTTTTCTTTTTCATTAATGTTTCTCATATGCTCCTCAAAGAACTCCGCAAAGAATGTATAGAGCGTACTGACACACTTTCTAAATACTTTATTTATTTCTTAGTACTTCATCTACGCTTCCTAAACGTTCGGCAAAAAATACACGGAGCATTCAAACATATTGAGCGGAAAAAGTTGTTACAAATATTAATAGCTAAATAATTGAAAATTTTGTTGTAAGAGGATGTGTGCACAATTTCAACAATCTTTAATGATGAAAGCCACCTAAAATTTTAGAAATTAATTCCATTGTCTGTTTTATATTATTTTCAGCGCGTCGTTTGTACTTATTAGTACACTGAAAAAAAGGATTGACTGCTGCAGCAAATTAGATGATAAAATATAGCATAGTATTTTTAATTGGCTGCAACAACCAATTTTTGGTTGTAATAATCAATTTTTGATTGCAGCAGCCAATTTTTTGTTTCGTTAGCCTATTCATATGTGGGACAAACAAGTAGAATTTTAAAAGCCCGCATTAAAGAAATCACATAGAAACCACATCAATTGGAACATGACAATATTTAATTAGTACTTTACATAGACTTGAATTCTTACATGATTTTGATTGAGAAAATATAAATATTTTGAATAAAAAAAAGTTTTTACATAAAAGGTTGATATCTGTGAAATAATTTTTATACATCAAAAATAAATAAAAAGCCTCTGAGAATCGGCGCAAATTATTGTTATAAATAAGAATTTATTATTATTAGTTACAAATTGAAATACTAGTTACAAATATTAGTTACAAATTGAAATACGTTTTGACCCACGTTTAGAGTCCTCTTTAGTGACAAGAAACATATAATGTAAAACATATAATGAGATTTCTACATTACGTGGACAATGTTATTAATTGTTCGAAGCAGTTATATGCAAACTATAAGGATTACTTTTTCGTCATTTTTAATCGCATCCATCAAAGTTTTTTTTCGCATAGGATGTTTATTGAATTTCCTGATTTAATAAAGATTATATTATAATCATAACTCTCTTCTTCTCTTTTGCGAATGTATAATAGCGCATCGATATTTTCATTAAATCAGGAAATTTAATAAACCTTGATAGATACGATTAAAAGTGACAAAAAAGTAATTCTTGTAGTCTGCATATAATTGCTTTGACCGAACGGCTAACATTGTTGTCCACATAATGTAGAAATCTCATTATATGTTTTAACGTCTTGTCACTGAAAAGGATCCTAAACATATTTGGTCGAAATATATTTTAATTTGTAATTGATAATAATAAATTCTTATTCGTAACAAATAATCTGCGCCGGCTCTCAGAGGCTTTTTATTTATTTTTTATTTATATCAGTCTATTAGAGCCTACACAATTTTGAGATTTTCATAAAAAAACAAATAAATGGCTTGAACATTAAAAATAACACGAAACCTCTTAACTTTATATTATAATTAATTTATAAGGATTTGATGCTTCCCTCTCTTTACCACCTTTGTTAATGTTCATATATAAATACTTTAGTTTTCGATTGCGTCTGTCACATAAGAGCGAAAGATAGAACTGATACATTTACTTGTCTTTGCGTTTATCATGTAAATCTAATAATTTATTATTGATTATTTATTATATACGTTTGTTTAATTCGGTTAAAATAACTTTTTTTTAGTTAACTTAGTAATTATAGTGAAAATATTCTTGGACATTACAATTTTGACGATACCTATCTGATTATATGACAGACATTGTCCGCAATAATTAATGAGAATCAACTAGATTTCGATCTTTGTATAAATAAGTTCTTAATAAATAAAGTCTAAATACAAAATTAGATCCAAAAGAGACAAACGATAAAAATGCAGTCAATATTTAATAGTCAAATGAAATAAATCGAAGCAATATTGCGATATGTGTCAAGAGACACATATGTAACATAAAATGATTAATCATTGCGGACGACGTAAATTTCTGTCATATAATCAGATAGGTTGTCAATCATAAATCATAAAATACATGGACTTTCGAATTTGATGCAGTTATTATTTTTTAATTTTTTTTTTATTTTATTATGATAATATACGCATAATCATCACTATTTTTATTTCAATTAATAGATTAAAGTTACTATTTTGGCTTGTAGTTAGCTTTCTTTGTTTATTATTGTTAATTTTATTGTATTGAGCCATATTATTATTTATAGACTTGTAAAATAATTCTTGAAATAATGATATATTTCTCAAAGAATGCGTTGAAAGAAAAAATTGGCTAAATATGACATAGCATTTTTTAATTAATTGCAGCAGCCAATTTTTGATTGTGTTAGGTTATCGAAATCCTGTACTGACATTGCGGATATAGGCTGATGCAATCAAAAATTGGTTGCTGTAGCCAATTAAAAATGACATGCCAAATTTTACAATCTAATTTGTTGCAGCAGTCAACCTTTTCTTTCCGTGTAGACATTATAGGTTGCAAGCTTGTTGCGTCCACCATCTGATGCATCAATTTTAAAATGGCACGACGCTACGACGCTTGCGACGCTATCCAATCAACATACAATATTCGAAAAACATTTTTTAAACGTTTATTTAATATATTTATATTAAATAAATATTTTATAAACATTTTTTTACTATTTTTTTAATATGTGTGCTGGTTAGGTAAATACAATCAATGTAAATTAGGCTTGACGGTAACTGTAACGAGTTACTTCTAAAAATTAAGAACTATTAACGATAACTTATTACTTTTTTGACTCGCTAACGAGTAACTGTAACTTTTAAAACTTTTAAAAAATAACTTTCCATGTCCTACCTAAAATTTATTTTACAATTGCAAAAGCATAATATATGTAAATATATTTGTAAATGGTTGTAGTTTTAAAAAAGAATCAATTCTTAAAGGGTCCTCTACATAGAAGTCGTAGATAGTCGTGGAGTCTTAAATTGTAGGAAACCAACTAATCACAATCAAATATAAGGAGAATACTCGATTAAATTGGTCAGTTTCCTACGATTTAAGACTTCTCGACCGTCTATGTAGACTTCTACGTAGAAGACTTTTTACAATTACAACATGTCATTTACAACTACACTTATAGGCATCAAAATACTGTTATCAAAGACGGTCGGTCCTAAGCAAATTTTCGTAACTATCCATGCGGGATCCCGGGCGTGCGAGAATAATTGAAGAACAATGACATTATCGACAATTGATATAAATTTTCGATTATAAATTTGCGATTGACATAAATATTTGAATAATACATTATTAAATTCATAATTTTTATTATACAAATGCTGCATAAATAAGTATGCATACTTATATATATATATATATATACACAATTTACAATAACGTAATTGTATATACAATTGTATATATATATATATGTATACAATTACGCTATTATAAAATGGGCTTGTACAACATATCTTAACGTAAAAAATGCAAGATGACAAGCAAGATACTTTTTAGAAATCTAAAAATATCTTTTTTTTTATCTGAAAAGCCACAACAGCGCAGTGTAGTCTCGAGTTTCTTGCTTTCGTTCGTTGACTCGAAGAGAATGTCCGACGAGGAGTGCTTGCCGATTTCGATTTCAGAAAAAAAACCGCGCTTCACGATGACAAAATATCTGCCGGTATTCAGATGGCTGCCGCGATACACTCGATTCAAAGCCGTGTCAGATCTAATAGCGGGCATCACTCTGGGTCTGACTATGATCCCTCAGAGTATGGCTTATGCAGTACTGGCTGAACGGATTCCACAGGTATTACAGTTCCGTTCGTTATTTCTCTTATTCGTTTTAATTAAAACTAAATTTAATGATTATAAAACGTAAATATTTATATGTATATATGTATTTCTTTAAATTAAAATCTAATTTTTGCGCTTTAAAAAATGCACTCTTGAATTTTATTATCATCTTAAATATTTGATTTTTCTAGTTCAATCTTTTTTTCTATATTATTATTACTACTACATTTAGTACATATTATTATTTAGTCTATATATTATTTAATTTATTACTGATACATTTGTCTGTATCCTTAAAAATATCATATAAAAAGTAATGGTTACAGTATGGTCTGTACTCTTGTTTTGTGGGCGGTTTCGTGTACATTATTCTTGGAACCACCAAGGAAGTCTCAATTGGTCCGTCATCTTTGATGTCCCTTCTAACGTTACAGTACACGCGAGACATGCCGCAGGATTTCGTAATACTATTGTGTTTTCTGACTGGATGCGTAGAATTTTTAATGGGTGTACTAAATCTAGGCTTGTATACCAAAATCATCTAATTAATTTAATTAAACTTCACTTCACTCACGTTTTGTTATTATCATCTCTTCTACAGCATTATTTATAAATACATCGACATAAATATGATCTAAACGATTCTTCCTACAGGATTCTTGGTGGATTTCATATCAATTCCAGTTACGTCGGGTTTTATATCAGCGGGAGCGCTCATTATAGCAATCGCTCAACTGCAGGGCTTTCTAGGATTAAAATACAAGTCGGAAAGTATCATGGACAATCTGTACCAATTGTTTAAAAATATTAATAAGGTTCGATTGACCGATTTCACACTCGGGATTTTCAGCTTTATGTTTCTTCTGATCTTGAAAGTGAGTGCCAGAATTATAAACGGATTATTTACAATAATCGTAGAAATATTATATAAATTCAATCTCTAGAAACTGAAAGATATTGACTATCCTTGCATGAGAAACAAGAAGGATGCTCGCAGAAATGAAATTATAAAAAAGATACTTTGGTACTTTTCCATTCTTAGGAACGCTCTCATTGTGCTTATTACATCCACGATAGCGTACGAATTGGAAGCAAATACGGGATCCATTCCGTTTAGACTTTCAGGTATAGACTTTACTTGTAATTATATTATTGAGTCAATTCACTAAATAAACATAATGATAAATAAACAAATTTTCGAAAGGCTCTCTATAATAATAATTAACAAAGTGTAGAAATGCAGAGTATGTGTGAGCAATCGCAGAACTTATTGCGTAAAGCAATACATAAATTTTCAATTGTACATAAATTAGTCAGACATTATACCTCTTATGTTAACTCAGCTGCTAATTCAGTTCTCTTCAGAAACAATATAAACGGTTACGCAAATTAAATAGAGTCGTGGTTTAATTATTTCGAGTTTATAAATAGAATGACTTTAAATTAATAAATTAATATAAGATACAAAAAATGTAATATTCAAATATAAACGATTACATAAAATTGAGTTTTGAGACTTCATCTTCTCAAAACTTTAGAGCTAAGCTGTTCCTAGAGTAACGCGAGCTGCTCATATACTGTGTCAGCAGCAAATTTCATACTTAAATAACACAGTCTTACAAGTATATTCTCACCGACAATGTTTTGTCCACGATTGTACACCTAGAATTCTCTATACGATTTTCTAACCGCCATGTAAACAGCTTGCGTTATTCTGGCAACAGCTTAGCTCTAAAGTTTCGAGAAGATGAAATCTCGCCGCTCACGTAATCGTTTATAAATAATTCGTAATCGTTTTTTTAAACTGTTTCTGAAGAAGACTCAATCACGCAATCGTTATTAACGTACGAGGTAATATAATGTATAATGTCTGACTAATTTATGTACAACTGAAAATTTATGTATTGTTTTATGCAATAATTGTTCTGCAGTTGCTTCATACATACCCTGTATTTCTATACTTTATAAACATAATGAAAAATAGCTATCACAAACTGAATATAATTAGTCTAATATAGCCCTATTAAAAAATATTATGTCTCGAAGTTACGTAACGAAATTATATATAATAATTAAGATAAGTAAACCATAAATTGTTCCAAATCAATAAGTGGTTTTTTAATCTGATTTCGTTTATGTAACTTTGTGACGTGATTTTTTTTCAGTAAGGAGTAATCATTGTAAAACTATATTGAAATCTAATAATTTATAACAATCTTCAAACTCATTATTTTGTTAATAATTAATATTATTTAGTAATATGTACTAAATAATTTTATTTAAAAATGTACTACATAATGTTTATTTGTCTTAGAGTATTATGACATGTCAATATCTTACAGGAAAAATTGAAGCCGGCATTCCCAAAATATCATTACCGCCATTTTCGTCGCAAGTAGGAAATCAAACATATACGTTTTTAGACATGTGCGCTCATTACGGATTAGGACTAGGGTTACTTCCTATCATATCCGTCTCGGTGAATGTAGCAATAGCCAAAGCGTTTGGTATTAATTTCTATATAATTTATATATAATTCTTTTAATTATTTCAATTCTAAGTCAGACAGCACAAGTTGCCATCCAACCTATAATCACAACAAAGTAAAATTGAGTTTATTTTTAATAAAGTCATTTTATTATTTTTTTTTAAACAAAATTACATTTTATTAAAAATATATAATAAATATCCCAATTTTGACGATGTATCTCCGTAAAATTCGTTATGTAATATGTTATGAAAAAAAGTAAATGAATTGTTCGTATAAAATAATAGATATATTTCAAATAACTTTTTTTTCTTACAATTCTCTACAAATTAAAATACTTTGAATTAAAATTTTGCTAAATTTAAATAATACATGTAACAGCTCGTAACCTTATTGTAACAGTTAAATGATTTTATAGCGATGGACGCCTCCATTAGCGCGACACAGGAAATGCTGGCTCTCGGTGTTTGTAACATATTAAGCAGCTTCGTGTCGTCGCTTCCAACTTCCGGTGCATTTACTCGAAGCGGAGTTGGCAGTGCCAGCGGAGTGCAAACGCCTATGGCCGGTCTATATTCTGGTAATTGAAATCAAAATGATTGCGTTAATTTAAATTTTGTCTTCATTCGTTCGTATGCAAGAAACAGGAGACGAATAGGAGCTTGGCAAAAATTATTATATTAAAATTTTTTTTTTTTTTATTATATATAGTCTTATTATCTAATTGTTTAATTAATTATATTAATATAATTGTTTAATTAAAATCTACATTAGAAAAATTTACGATTTTAATCTTAATAAAATAGCAAGGTAATGTAGTGTAGTGATATGGGACGCACGTGTGACACGACGCTTATAACAAAAAAAAAAATTAAATAGATGACATTGCTTTTCGCAGGTACTATGGCATTGCTGGCGTTAAGCTTTTTGACGCCTTATTTTTATTACATTCCACGTGCAACGTTATCAGCAGTGCTGATAAGTGCTGTGTTACCCATGATCGACCTAAAGATTATAAAAGTATTTTGGAAAGGAAACAGTAATGTGTTTTTTCTTGTGTACACAGATCAAGATTGAAAAGATAAAGCAATAAATTTACATAATATATTTTCTTTTTTGTAGAAACGGATGCGATCGCGGCGACAGGCACTTTTGTGCTTTCCATGCTTGTTGGCATCGAAATCGGATTTCTTTTCGGTATTTTTTTCAACTTGATCATTTTTATCCGATTCTTTGCAAGATCGACATTTCAAATAGACAACTGTAAGGTAAATGCTGTCATTTTGTATATGTATTTTTATATGATTAATATATGTACAAATATATTTTTTAAATTTCGTACATGTAATTAAAAATATATATTTTATATATTTATGTATATAAATTATATTCTATATACATGATTTAACGGAGTCTATATATTATATATAATATATATGTATGCATAATATAATACATAATATTGCATGTAAACGTGAATGAAAGTATTAATTGTTAAGATTATTAATTTATTCCTTTTTAGACTCATCTAGGAAACAAATATATAATGCTAAAATTCGATACCTGTCTCCAGTATCCCGCAGTAACTTCTTTCTGTGATAAAGTGATAAATTTAGCTACAAAAAATGTTCCCTTGATCATAAACTGTAAGACATTCACTAATCTCGATTATACTTCAATCAAGGTATGTCGTTTATCATATGAAATTGATTTCTTTTTATTGAATATTTTTAGTCATAAATTATACTTTGTTCAAACTATAATTTTTACGACAGGGCATTGAAACGTTATCGAAAAGATTAAACTACGAAAAAAATCAATTCTGGCTGTTGAATCTTAATTCTGATATCGTGCAAAATTTCGACATTTTTTCCGACAACAAATATATTCGTTTGATCGAAAAAAAAGAAAACATCGCAGATGTTCTTTACAGTATGTATTATACAAAATTGATATTACGATAATTATATGAACTATAGTAGTAATAATTAGTAATTATCACAATATGATAATTGAGTTATCTAATAAACATTTTTTTCAGATGATGCTTTATCCAATCAAAATTCTGAAGATTCAATTAATGTCACAATAAATTCCCGACGAGAGGATTCCGAATCCAGCTCCGAAGAATTGACCTTAATGTCACCATTGGAATGCAAAATTATACAACAATGATCAAACGACTAGATAGTCTTTAATTTAGCCTAGCAATTATAAATATATGAATATAATTAAATAAAATTACTCAAACCGAAATCAAGTTCTTAAAACAAAGGCATTTAGGCCGGTATTCATAATTATGCTCGTATTCATAATCAGGCCTTATATTTAAGACTTCTTTAAATTTATCTTTAGATGCTCTACGAATTATTTCAGCTGCTGAGCATCTAAAGATAAATTTAAAGAAACTTTAAGTACAAGGTCTGACTATGAATATGAGCATTAGATCTTATATTTAAGACTGTCTCTGCTAATGCAGAATTTGTGTGCTTAAAGCAGTGAATTTTTGTTTGTAAAGCAGTGAATTTGTGTTTTTAAAGCAGTGAATTTGTGTTTTTAATGCAGTGAATTTGTGTAATTAATGCAAAACATATATACATAGCGCTATATTGAATCGAGATGACAGATATCTTCTAAAGTCTCCAACTTTAACGTTTAATAACTCGATTCACGAGGCCGACACGTTTTTTTGGCAGATCCTTTCGTTTTTAGTGAAAACACGTCGAATAAGTATATTATTATTAAAATTTGAGGTGGTGGTGGTAGTGGGGGAGAGGGGTTATTCTAAATAATTACCTATATTTTATATATAACTATACATAATTGTATACATAAAATTACATATCATTATATACACTTATATATAAAATATGTATATAATTATATACAGTTATATATAAATTATATAGAATTATATACAGTTATATATAATTATATAGATTTATGTATAATTATATATAAAATATTTTTCCCGGGGAGTATGCTAACGCGGTACATCGTTGTAAACATGTTCTGAATATGGGCCATTATATTTATCTTAATTTAGAACAGTTGATAATATCAGCTGTTTTCAATTTCCACAGAATGAATCAGACTACTTCAGAGTGATCACGCTAACTCTTGTAAAAATATCGATCTTTATTTTTATTAATATCTTGTCAGTGACAAATTTAAAAATTAAACGCGTTATAATAGTTTAAATTTGGCGCAATTTTCTACCTCGTTATGTGATAAATTATTCATCTGTTCCACTTTTTTTATATCGTGTAGAAAGCACTGAGAGGCGCTGAGATCGTCTCATTGTATACGTTTGTGTTCATGTATGGTGTACTTGTATGCATTTAAATTAATAAAATATTTTTTTTATGTGTATCAACTATTTTAATTATTATTCTACTAACGAAAACACGTAAGAGTAGGACTTTTTCATTTGTAAGTTAAGTCTATATTCCATAATATATAATTAACAATTTTTTGATAGCAATTGAGGTTATATGAAATTTATAACATTTCAATTCTGTTGTAGATAGTCTTTTTTTTCTGGATTGTAGTAGTTCTAAAATGAGTGTAATTACTGAGTCCGAGAAGAAACGCTTGCAATCCTTGAAAGAGAAGAAACAGGCATTCAAAGCAAAGGGACAAGTTATACAGCAAGCATTAAAGAACTTAGTGGGTTTATTCACATTGTAATTTTATTGTATTTTATATGTATATATTATACTTATAAGATTATTATTTTTTTAGGATAATACTACAAACAATAAAAAAATTATATTTGATGATATTAATGAACAGCAAGACGTAAAACAAAAGGAAAAAACGAAGAGAGATTTGTTTGACAGTGACGATGACAACAACGAAAAGGATTCTTTATGGAATGAAGATGAATTTAAAGTTAAGAAACGTAAAAAGGTAAGCATTTGATACTTTATTTTATTTTTTTCAGTAATGGTACTAATAGTATTTATTTATACTCACAGACTACTCTTGGAAATGATGTACGTTTTACACTGGATGATCGTTTCATAGAAGAAGACAATCAGACCAAGGAAATTAAAGCTGTTGAGGATACTGATGAGTGTAATTTGCAGAAGGAGAAGGAAAAACAATTGGATATTTTAGAAGGCATTTTAGGAACACCACTTACCATAAAAAATCCAGAAATGAAACCTACTAAGTAAGAATATTTAAATAAATAAGAACTTATGATTGTTGCTTTGGATATTTAATGATAAAATATTTACAGGAAGGAATTGATGATACGATATGATCCAACTGAAAATGGACACTGTGAATATGAAGTGAAACCTGTTCAACTAGAAACTAAGGAGAAAAGTACCAAAAAAAAGAAACATAATAAATCCATGCCAGAAATTAAAGATCCTGCAATTCTCGAACCAGAAGTATCAAAGGATATTTATTACACTGTATCTGATGCTCTGACAGAAAGCTTGAAACAGAAAGGAGGATTTAGTTTGTTAAAATTACATGGAAAGGAAACAGATGACACAGGTGTTTATTAAAAAATATCATATTTTTATATTTTTATTATTTTATGTCTGTACATACATTATTTCAGTTTCTTAATTCATTTTTAGAAAATATCAAGGATAATGATACATCCATAATGGAAAATATTAAAGCCCAACATTTTAAATTTAATTTTAATACAAGTAATGCATTTAAATATGATTCATCTGATGAAGAAAACACACCTGGAGCACCAGATATAAATAATCAAATGGCTGTTGATGAAACTAAAGAAGATATTCAAGAAAATATCCTATTTGGTCATAAAGATACTCTATTTTTTGATAGCAATGATGTAAGATTTAATGGTACGTATAATTAAAAAACCATGGAATCAGAGCATTTAAGTTGATACTATAAATATATATATATATATATTTTTTTTAGAA